CTCTCCACCACCTAGCAATGGCGTCAGGAGACCGGATCCTGCCCGACTGGCCAGGGAACGAACTCAGGCTCATACTACCCACTCTAAGAAAGCCTGAAGTTCAACCACCACACCAGAATTTGGACCCTAGGAACTTTCAGAGCTATGCTCTATTCTCAAGGCTTTTACCTTTGCAGAAAGACTGAGATCACGTTAAAGGATGAGTACTTCTGCCTTTTCCCTCTAAGGCTTTTGTTGCTTCTGCCTGGGCCTGTTTGCCCCCCTCCCTATTGGAGCCATCCCGGCTCACACTGCGCCTCTTGACATGCCTACTAACCCTGCCTGGCGCATGGTAATGATGCTGTGCTATCCACTTAATGGCCGCACCTATAGCCCTTGAGGTGCGTCTAGCATGGTTCCCTTTACCCCCCCAGGAAACATATGGCAACCTCATTGTCTCCATCCGGTGTGCATCCCCTGCTCAATATCAATGGGCTCACCCTATTACCCACTGATGCACTAACTGCATCCATGTACATAGTTCCTAGTTGTTGTTACTTGTTGCACTCTCTATTTAAAAAATTTTCTATACTTGCTTATTCTCTGGAAGCCTTTGATGGTCAATCCAATTCCTGGCACGTTGCCCAGATTCTATACTGGCTGATTACCCATGTACCTGCATGCCCCAAAGCCCTACTCACCCGCAACCCCTTTCCACCCCCTATTATAACTACCTATCACTATGTGGCTACAACTCAGAACCTACTAACACCACTTATGGTACTTCCAATTTTTTTGTTAAATGCCAAAGGGCTTAACTCGCCCAATAAATGGAGGTTAGTGCTTCAGGAGGCTGGGGGATGTGGGGCGCACGTAGCATTTTTTCAGGAAACCCACTTCAAATGGAACTCCAGACCCAAGTTTAATTCACCATGGTATCCTATAGATTATCATACCTTCTAATCCACCAAAAAGCAGGGGGGGTATTTTTATTGGTGGGGAGGAAGGTATCCTTCTCTCTCATACATAAAATAGGTGATAAAAAAGGGTGCTATCTCCTTGTACAATGTCTTATGAACAATAATCCGTATACGTTAATTAATGTGTATGGGCCAAATGGCAACCAAAATGA